TCAGAAAAACAACAGGCACACATTTCTTTACTCTGTCAAGTCAGCCTGCACAGTGTCATTTCCTAAAGAGCATCTTGGGGTCTATCTTCTCTCTTCCCAGATTTCTGACTTTTGTGTCTAGTGTCATTCTGTGTGGCCATTGCCTAGGACAGTGGTCAGCAAACCTCGGCTAGCGAACCACATGCGGCTCTTTGGCCCCTTGAGTGTGGCTCTTTCACAAAATACCACAGCCTGGGCGAGTCTATTTTGAAGAAATGGCATTAGAAGAAGTTTAAGTTTAAAAAATGTGGTTCCCCAAAGAAATGTCAATCGTTGTACTGTTGATATTTGGCTCTGTGGACTAATGACTTTGCCAACCACTGGCCTAGGAGATGGGCCCACCTTTTATTATTTTTTAAAATATATTTTATTGATTTTTTAATATATATATTTTATTGATTTTTTACAGAGAGGGAGTGGGATAGAGAGTTAGAAACATCGATGAGAGTCATCAATCAGCTGCCTCTTGCATGCCCCCCACTGGGGATGTGCCCGCAACCAAGGTACATGCCCTTGATTGGAATCGAACCTAGGACCCTTCAGTCCGCAGGCTGATGCTCTATCCACTGAGCCAAACCGGTTTCAGCTGGGCCCACCTTTTACACCTGTGCCCAAGTAGCCTCCATTGGGCTCCACCTCTGACAGTGGAGAATGACTCTGGATCCCCATCATAGTGTTTAGAATGGAAACTCCTACAAGATCAACAAAGCTCTCCTGCTAATACCAATCATCTCCCTTAGTAAGAATGGGGGGAGGGGAGGGAGAAAAGAACCCTGGCACATAGTAAGTGCTGAAATGTGTTGGGGTACAAATTCTAAGCACTAAAGAGTTCAAAGGAGGAGGAAAGTAAATGGTGGTGGTGGGATTTGAGCTAGGTCTCGGTGAGTTAAGTGGGATTTAGATTCTAAAAGGACAGGAAAGGGCAAGTTGAAGAAAGCAACCTAAGACAAAACAGAGCAGGAAGTAATTTTTTTAAATAAAATATATTTTTATTGATTTTTTACAGAGAGGAAGAGAGAGGGATAGAGACTTAGAAACATCAATGAGCTGAAACCGGTTTGGCTCAGTGGTAGAGCGTCGGTCTGCGGACTGAAGGGTCCCAGGTTCGATTCCGGTCAAGGGCATGTACATTGGTTGCGGGCACATCCCCGGTGGGGGGTGTGCAAGAGGCAGCTGGTCGATGTTTCTCTCTCATCGATGATTTCTAGCTCTCTACCTCTCTCCCTTCCTCTCTGTAAAATATCAATAAAATATATTAAAAAAAAAAAAAAAAAAAAAAAAAGAAACATCAATGAGAGAGAATCATTGATCAGCTGCCTCTTGCATACCCCCTACTTGGGATGTGCCCACGACCAAGGTACATGCCCTTGACCAGAATTGAACCCGGGACCTTTCAGTCTGCAGGCCTATGCTCTATCCACTGAGCAAAACCGGTTTCAGCAGGAAGTAATTTCTAAAGGACAGGAAAGAGACCTAACCTTTCTAGAGTGAAATGATCCTATTAAATAGAAGGGGGAAATAATAAACTTGGGTTTATCTAGGGCAGGTCAGCTTATGAAAATCAAGCACAAGAATTAGACTTAGTTGAGCCAAAGGCAGAAAGCTATCAGACATTAAGGAAAGAAATCATAAAACAGAAGCGAACTTTTAAGTAAATATCCTATTCTGAAAGCCAAGGAGAATGAGTTTTGTGTTAAGCATGGCTAGTAGGGTTAAATCCTTCCTCACCATTAAAAAGCATGTCAAGCCGAAGCCAGTTTGGCTCAGTGGATAGAGCGTCGGCCTGCAGACTGAAGGGTCCCAGGTTGGATTCCTGTCAAGAGCATGTATCTTGGTTGCGGGCACATCCCCAGTGCGGGGTGTGCAGGAGGCAGCTGATCGATGTTTCTAACTATCCTTCTCTCTCCCTCTCTGTAAAAAATCAATAAAATATATTTAAAAAAAAATAAAAAGCATGTCAAAGCCATGTCAAAGGGTATGTTCTAGTAGGAGTGAGTCATATGCAATCCAAGGTCTTCTATCAGCATGTTCTGTTTGTTCAGTCTTGTTAAATGTCCCCATTTGTATTGTACAAAGGAAGGAAGGCAAACATGTGAAATTGCCACCGATATATATACAGTAAGCTTGTATGTCAGTTCCGGTTTCCGGTTCTGCCCGATTTACCTTGGCGCGCTTTTCCCAGAAGGCAAATATTTGGTGCTTTGAAACACAGGCAGAACGAATTCCAGGGTGGGGCCCGTACAGCCCAACCTGCACAGTGAAGACTGGCTTATCCATTACAGACTTCAGATACAAATTACTTCCCTACAGGACAGGAGTGGAGGCAGGGAATGTAGTCAAAAGAATTAAGCTAGCTATCGGGAGTGTAATCATGTGACCCTGGGCGAGTCACCAATTTTTGCGTTTCTTAGAATCCTCATCTATAAAATTGGGGCTAGCCCTAACCCATTTGGCTCAGTGGATAGAGTGTTGGCCTGCGGACTGAAAGGTCCCAGGTTCGATTCCGGCCAAAGGCATGTACCCTGGTTGCGGGCACATCCCCAATAGGAGCTGTGCAGGAGGCAGCTGGTCTAATGTTTCTCTCCAATCGATGTTTCTAATTCTCTATCCCTTGCCCTTCCTCTCTGTAAAAAAATCAATAAAATATATTGAGAAAAATAAAATAGGGGCTAAATGTTTCACATTTCATGGTGTTGCTTGAAGAAGCAAATAAGATCACATATTAAAGATTGCCCATTTATGTTGTTTAAACAATTAAACCGCAAACAGACCTGGCTCTTAGGCAACAGGGATGGTTGATGATGCAACGAGAGTCTCAGCTGATCAATGACTTCATCTCAAGGGAGACATTTTTAGATGGAACCTACCCTGGACACTTCTTACTAAAAGTCAGCCATGGCAGGTAACAACCTCCCAGGCTGTGTTTGGCAGCTCACAAGCGCCTCCTGGAGGAGCTACTAAGAACTGAGAGGAAAAAATAGGTTCTTGATGTACAGGCACAGACAACCTGTTAACAGACCACACATCCAGACAAAGCAAACCTCCTGAATCCTCGGCATTTTAGTTGACACATTCAGTATAAAATTAGAAACAGGAACATAAATGCCGTCATGCAGCCTATTCAAGTGTGGATGTTGAGCAATTGCATACAGGAAGCATGAGAGTTCCCTGCAAGTATGAAAGTACATCCCTTTTGAAAGATGAAAAAAAAAAAGTTCATCCGTATTTAAATATGCATTGGATAGGAAATGATATGGAATGCATTAAAGGGTGAATAATGTCTTCAAACCAGAATGTTAAATGGATCTAAATCTGATATTTCCCTTATTTCTCACTGACTCCCTAGAGCAATGTTGTCCAATAACAATATGATGCTAGCTACAAATTTAAAATTTCTACAAGTGACATTAGAAAGGTAAAACAAAGAAGATGAGACTAATTTTAATAATACATCTTAATTAATACAATACATCCAAAGTATTACTGTTTCAACTTGTAATCAATGTAAGATTCTTAACGAGGCATTTGACATTCTTTCTTTTATATGAAATCTTTGAAATCTGTTATGTATTTTACACTTACAGTATATATTAATTCAGATTAGACACATTTAAAGATAGCATAGCTCAAGAAGGCAGGGATTAAAAACTAACATCAGATTCATACCATACATTTGTACATATTTGTACATTATTTTGCATATACTTATTTTAAAGAAATGAAAAGCTTAAAAATTTTTTAAATTTTTTTAATTGATTTAAAAGAGGAAGGGAGAGGTAGAGATAGAAATATCAATGAATAGAATCATTAATTGACTGCCTCCTGCATGCCCACTCCTGGAGATCAAACCCACCAGGGCATGTGTCCTTGACCAGAGTTGAACCCTGGACCCTTCAATCTGTAGGCCAAAGACACTCTAACCGCTGAGCCAAATCATCTAAGGCTTAAAATTGTGTTTTGGAATTTAACATATTTTGGCCAAGCTCTTTTGGAACTTTTGTGGAAGGAGAAAGAAGGATGGTGGTTATCTCAAGATCCACCAACTTTTTTTGTTTTGTTTGTAATCAGAGGTTGAGATTATTGTTGGGATGTTTGAGAATCTCATTGCCATTTCAGATGAATCTGAAGACCTTAATAAAAGGATAAGATACAGTTATCATTATGCTCCTAGTCATTAAGTGCAAGTTATGCATTTATTGTGTATTTCTCATAATTACCTCACACACATTTACAATTCTTGACAGTGAAACCAAGATTGATATTGAATGGGTTGGCCCTGGCTCAGTGGATAGAGCGTTGGCTTGTGGACTGAAAGGTCCCAGGTTCGATTCTGGTCAAGGGCATAGTACCTTGGTTGCAGGCACTTCCCCAGTGGGGGGGTGTGCAGGAGGCGGCTGACCGATGTTTCTAACTTTCTATTCCTCTCTCTCCCTCTCTGCAAAAAACCCAAATAAAATATATTTTTAAAAAAAGAAGTTTAAGTTAAAAAAAAAAGTTTGCCTATGGTCCTTATGACAGTGACTGCAGGTGTCAGCGGAACCACCACTGCTGAGAGGAAAAACAAATCTTCCCCAACTTTTGGGGAGGCTGTCCAGGCTCCCCTAAATTCAAAACCTAAATTTAAAGAAAAGAGAAAAATGATTTCAAAGGAGCAATGGAAAGGCTAGGCTATGCAGATTTGCTGTGCTGGGACCACCTGCCACTGTTCACCCCACCCACTTGCCCTCTGGTCGCCCCAATATCCATTTGCAACAAAACTAGTCTCCCATTCATCCCATGTCCCTAATCCAAGATGCAAATCTGGAGCATCCACAATGAGAGGGCGGGAGTTCGCGATCACTTCCGGGTTACCTGGGCGGGGGGCGGGGCCAAGCCGAGGACAGCGAAGACTGCGGCGCCGCCGCAGGAGGAGTTAGGGGCGGGGCTGCGCCTGGGCGTTGCCTGCGAGCCAGAGGGCTGGCTTAGCGCATGCTCACACGGGGCTGTCGCTAACTCCACTTCCGGTGTTTGCCTGGAGCTGGGATTGCATTCAGCTGAGAGGTCCCGCTGCTGGCGGTAAGGGCCGAGGGTACCCTGCACCCATCACTGCTGGCGGGAGCGGGGAGGGACTTCGGTGAACTTGGCAATTGCATGACACGCCCGCAGGATTTGAGAATCTGGGAAGGGAGAGCTGCTTGTATCAAGACTCCATAAAATGCATGCGCGTGGGGTTAAAAATCTGGTACTATTTAAAACCCATGCTCCTAACTCTAGAATTTGATTTATTTTATTTTATTAAAATTTCTTTATTGATTAAGGTGTTACCTATGTGTCCTTATTCCCCCATTGCCCTCACCCTCCTGGTATTCATGTCCATTGGTTAGATCCATATGCATGCATACAAGTCCTTTGGTTGATCTCTCTCCCTAACTTCTTCCTCCCCTACCTTCCCTCTGAGGTTTGATGGTCTGATTGATGTTCCTCTGCCTCTGGATCTGTTTTTGTTCATCAGTTCATGTTGTTCACTAGAGTCCACAAGTGAGTGAGATCATGTGGTATTTGTCTTTCTCTGACTGGCTTATTGCACGTAGCATAATGCTCTCCAGGTCCCATCCATGTTGTTGCAAATGGTAGGAATTCCTTCCTTTTTACTGCAGCGTAGTATTCCATTGTGTGGATGTACCACCGTTTTCTGATCCACTCATCTGCTGATGGGCACTTGGGCTGTTCTCACTTCTTAGCTATGGTGAATTGTGCTGCTATGAACATAGGGGTGCCTATGTCCTTTCTGATTGATGTTTCTAGCTTCTTGGGATATAGCCCTAGAAGTGGTATTGCTGGGTCAAATGGGAGTTCCATTTTCAGTTTAGAATTTGATTTGGAAAGCTTTCGCAGGCATGATGATGAGCAGCAGAATTTGAGGCAAGGCTACTAGTTAGAAAGTGAAGGCAGTAAGCTAGACCCGGTGTGAGGGTGAACTAGGGTGCTGGCGTAGGATTGCGAAGAAGGGGGAGATGGAAGTGCCAGCAGGCAGCCATCAGCAGGACCCAATGAGCCATCAGAATGGGGAGCGAGGGAGAGGGCCCTGAGCATCTTGAGGGTTAAGTCCAGGCTCAGCTTGGCCCGTGGCTGTCTTTCTAGATTCTTCTCCCGCCCTCAATTCTTTATATATATATATATATATATATATATATATATATATATATATATATATACTATTTTATATTATATATTTTATTTTATATTATATATTATATATTTTATTGATTTTTTACAGAGAGGAGGAGAGAGGGATAGAGAGCTAGAAACGTCGATGGGAGAGAAACATCGACCAGCTGCCTCCTGCACTCCCCCTACTGGGGACATGCCCGCAACCCAGATACATGCCCTTGACCGGAATCGAACCTGGGACCTTCCAGTCCGCAGACAGACTCTCTACCACTGAGCCAAACCGGTTTCGGCTGTCCTCACCTTTCTTGTGACCTCAGTCCACGTTACATTTATTCACTAAGAACCTCAGTGTTTTTTCAACATGAAATTGGGAGAAAATAATACTATTTACTTCAGATATCTCTAAGGATTAATTTAGGTGATTTATATGCCCGTTGTATAAAAAGGGCCCAGTAAATGGTAACTCCTATTACTGTTATTATTGTACTGTTTTGTTATTATGCAGTTTTGCTGTTTCTTCCTTTATTACATTTTTAAAAATTAAAAACATATACCTTTATTTGATTTGAGAGAGGTAGAGATAGAGATAAATAGAGAACATCAATTTGTTGTTATACTTATTTATGCATTCATTGGTTGTTTCTTGTATGCGCCCTGACCCAGGATCCAACCCCAAACCTTGGTGTATTGGGTGGATGCTCTAGTCCAGTGGTCGGCAAACTCATTCGTCCACAGAGCCAAATATCAACAGCACACGATTGAAATTTCTTTTGAGAGCCACATTTAAAAAAAAATATTTTTATTGAGTTTTTACAGAGAGGAAGAGAGAGGGATAGAGAGTTAGAAACATCGATGAGAGAGAATCATCGATCAGCTGCCTCTTGCACACCCCCTACTGGGGGTATGTCTGCAACCAAGGTACGTGCCCTTGACCAGAATCGAATCTGGGACTTTTCAGTCCGCAGGCTGACGCTCTATCCACTGAGCCAAACCGGTTTCGGCAGCGAGCCACATTTTTTAAACTTAAACTATGTAGGTAGGTACATTGTTATTAACTTAATTAGGATTCTCCTAAGCTGGCCTTTGCTAAAAACTCAAGGGGCCACAGAGCCACATGTGGCTCGTTTGCTGCAGTTTGCGGACCACTGCTCTAACAACTGAGCTACCTGACCAGGGCTGCTGTTTCTTCCTTTAGATTTGAGTTGTTTCCTTTTTTACATCAAGGGGCTGTATCTTATCTATCTTGGTGTTTTCTTGAAACATAGTCTTTTTTTTTTTTTTTTTTTTTTTGCATGGATCATTTTTTTTTTGGTTGTTGCTGACAAATTTATATTTTTAAAAGGAATTTCTAGATACCCTTAATTTTGCTGATCAAGTGGTATGTACTAGACTAAGAAACGTCTGTTTTTCTGTGGAACTCAGAAGGCCGTGGAGTAAGACATGCAGACAGTAACTGATCTTCTCGGTTTGAAATAGGGATGAGCGATTTCAGCGAAGACTTGCTGAGGCCCACGAAGGAGGATGACCCAGCGGGAAGGAGCGTCCGCTCTGGTTCAGGAATGCGTCTTCCTTGGCTCCAGAAGCACGTGGAAAGTGTGCGTAAGTAAAACACCGGACAGCCGTTTTACCTTCCGTGCAAGTGATGATAAGATCCCATGCGAATGCAACAGGAATAACCAAGCTTGATTCACTTTGCAAGATAAGAATAAACAGATGACAATTTCTTATGCAGCAGCCAAAAAGAAATTTAAAAAAAGATGATTTTTTGTTTTAGAATTCTTTAAAAAAATTTTTATTGATGTTTTACAGCACATGTGTCAAACACAAGGCCTGTGGGCCAAATCCGTCCCGCCAGGCCTTGCAATGTGGCCCGCACCGCGCTGTCATCACTGCACTCCGCTGCGTTTCCATCACAATGACAGTTTATGACTGTTCAGTAAACCATTCGGCCCGAGATTTAGGCTGGATTTTAGATTTTGGCCCCTTCTCTGATTGAGTTCGACACCCCTATTTTACAGAAAGGAAGGGAGAGGGATAGAGAGTTAGAAACATCGATAAGAGAGAAATGTTGATCAGGTGCCTCCTGCACCCCCCCTACTGGGGATGTGCCCGCAACCAAGGCACATGCACTTGACTGGAATTGAAGCTGGGGCCCTTCAGTCCACAGGCCAATGCTCTATCCACTGAGCTAAACCAGTTAGGGCTAGAATCCTTTTTTTTTTTTTTTTTTTTAAATACATTTTATTGATTTTTTACAGAGAGGAAGGGAGAGGGATAGAGAGCTAGAAACATCGATGAGAGAATCATCGATTAGCTGCCTCTTGCACACCCTCTACTGGGGATGTGCCCTCAACCAAGGTCCATGCCCTTGACTGGAATCGAACCTGGGACCTTGCAGTCCTCTCTGTAAAAACTCAATAAAATATATTTTTAAAAAAATGAAAGGGTGATTGACAGATTTGAAGGGTTTGTTGACATCTCTACATTAGTCTTTTTTCCCCCATTTGCTAAACTAGTTAAAATAGTGTGGGATAGTTTGTTGCAAATGGAGCTAGCTTTAATATTTGGGATGGGCTGGATTAAGGTAATACCCACTGTTGTACTTGTTAATACTCCGGTTTGTCAGAAGTAAGTTTTTGAGCTGTTGAGTCAGGGTCACTGAGTAAAAGACTCCTCTCTTTGCCCAACTAGTGTGGCTCAGTGGTTGAGCAACAACCAGTGAACTTGGCGGTCACGGTTTGATTCCCAGTCAAGGCACATGCCCAGGTTGTGGGCTTGATCCCCAGTAAGGGGTGTGCAGGGGGCAGCTGATCGATCGTTCTCTCTCATTATTGATGCTTCTATCTTCCTCCCTCTCCCTTTCTCTCTCCAATCAATAAAAACATATATATATATAAATATATATATTTATTTTTTTTTCCTGATTTTTTACAGAGAGGAAGGGAGAGAGTGAGAGAGAAACATCAATGAGAGAGAATCATCGACCAGCTGCCACCTGCACACCCCCCACCGGGGATGTTCCCGCAACCAAGATACATGCCCTTGACCGGAATCGAACCTGGGACCTTTCAGTTTGCAGGTCGATGCTCTATCCACTGAGCCAAACCTGTTTCGACAATAAAAACATATTAAAAAAGAAATAACAAGACTCCTCTCTCTAATCCTTATAGCGACCCGAGGGAAAAAGGAGAAGGATTTTGCTCAGACCACAAGCGCCTGTTTAAGTTTCATCCAAGACGCCCTGCTGAAGCACCAGTGGCAGCGAGCAGCCGAGTACATGCACAGCTACCTCCAGACCCTGGAGGACTCGGACAGCCAAAAGCGGCAGGCCGCGCCCGAGGTGAGGTGGGCGAGTGCGGGAGAGGTTTCTGATCCCTGGGAGTTCCAGAGTTCCAGCTCCTTTTGGTGGACACGGTTCTGATCTTCACCACCTTTTCTTCACCTCAGAAGAGGATTTTTTAAAAAAAATATATATTTTATTGATTTTGTACAGAGAGGAAGGGAGAGAGATAGAGAGTTAGAAACATCGATGAGAGAGAGTCATCGATCAGCTGCCTCTTGCACACCCCCTACTGGGGATATGCCCTCAACCAAGGTACATGCCCTTGACCGGAATCGAACCCGGGACCCTCAGTCCCCAAGCTGATGCTCTATTCATTGAGCCAAACCGGTTTCAGCAGAGGATTGTTTTTATGTATCTAACTGCTAAGGCCAAACTCTGGAGTCCTCTTTTTTTTTCATGTCCCATCTCTAAACCAGCGTTTTTCAACCGCTGTTCCGCGGCACAGATGTTGCCTGGTGTGCCGTAGGTGCAGACAAGACAAGAATTTTATAATTTTTCACTATTTTGTTTACTTAATATTTCATAATAAAGTAATTATAAAATACTTTCTTTGTGTTTATTTGATTCCTATTCAAGAGAATTACTTTATATATAGTCAATATAGGCACAGAGTTAAATTTTTTAACATTTTCTAATGGTGGTGTGCCTCGTGATTTTTTTCATGAAACAAGTGTGCCTTTGCCCAAAAAAGGTTGAAAAACACTGCTCTAAACCATCGGAAAGGCCTGCTGGCTGTACGGTCCGATTCCCTGGGGTCTGACCAGGCTGCCCCTGGACGCAGGCCGCTGCCATCCCACTGAGACGGCCATTTGCCCTTTTCTTTGGAGAGCCAATTTTTTTTAAAACTTCTTCTAATACCACTTATTCAAAATAGACTCGCCCAGGCCGTGGTATTTTGTGGAAGAGCCACACTCAAGGGGCCAAAGAGCCGCATATGGCTCGAGAGTCGCAGTTTGCCGACCACGGGTCTGGGGCTTTCGTTGGACACGCAGATTTCCTGGGCTCCCCCCCAGGTCTGAATCCGAGTCTGAAGTCCCTGCAGTGTTTATTTAACAGGCAGTTCTCGTGTGCAACCAGGTTCAAGTGCACTTGTGACAGGCCATCTCCACATTTTCTTTAAGCTCCAGAGTGCTCCAGTCTGGCATTCTGCCAATGTAGGTCTTGGCCCCTCTAAGCTGGGAAGACTGGTTTTACAGTTATACCAAACCACCAGTCTGTATGTTTATAGAAATAACGGATTTAAAAATTCGCTTACATTTACTTTCAGGTTGGTGTTACTGAATTGCTTTAAAACGGAGTCAGAGAAACAGAGTTCACAGCCATGGAAAACGCAGAGCTCCACGTTCTGTCAGCAATGTTGTGGGGCTGTGGGGAGGAAATACCTTCTATTAAAATGTGTCTGTTGCTGATAAACATTCTTTTTTTTAAAAAAAACATATTTTATTGATTTTTTTACAGAGAGGAAGAGAGAGGGAGAGTTAGAAACATCGATGAGAGAGAAACATAGATCAGCTGCCTCCTTCACACCCCTACTGGGGATGTGCCCACAACCAAGGTCCATGCCCTTGACCAGGATCAAACCTGGGACCTTTCAGCGGCAGGCCGACACTCTATCCACTGAGCCACACCGGTTTCGGCTGATAAACATTCTTAAATTGGAGCCCTAAATGGAGGTTACATATAGTCAGTAGTTAGCAAGCTTGCTGGGATCTCAGGAAGTATCTAGTCCATTGCTCTCATTTTGTTTTTTTCTCCTATGTTAGTTAAAATGAAAAAAAAAAAAAAAATTTATTGATTTTTTACAGAGAGGAAGGGAGAGATATAGAGGGCTAGAAACGTCAATGAGAGAGAAACATCGACCAGCTGCCTCATGCATACCCCCCACTGGGGATGTGCCCACAACCAAGGTCCATGCCCTTGACCGGAATCGAACCTATGACCTTTCAGCCGCAGGCTGATGCTCTACCACTGAGCCAAACCGGTTTCGGCAAAATTTTTATCTTCAGTGTATATCCTAACTGCCTGCCTGCCTTTAGACTACTGATTTAAAAATGGCACTGTTATAATTATCTGGTATTTTAATTGGTGGGAAGGACTTAATCACATGTGATACAATATTAGTTTCACTGGGTGAAGGCTAGTGAAATATCGATGGAAATGGTAGCCAGGGAAAGAAATGACAGGTTGCTTTTGAATGAAATAATCAGGAAAAAAAATAGCTTTCTTGGGCAGACATGGGTTAAGGCAAAGGTTTTACATTTTTGATAGCAATTTCTGTTTTGACAGATGATTTGGAAACTCGGAAGTGAAATTCTCTATTATCACCCCAAAAGCAGCGTGGAGACTTTCAATGCCTTTGCGGACAGGATGAAGAATATCGGCGTCATGAATTACTTAACGGTAAGAATGTGGGCTTTGAGAATTTACTTTTGAAGTGTTCTTTTTTTTTTTTTACAGTAATGCTATTGAGTCACAATCTTTTTTTTTTTTAAAATATCTTTTATTGATTTTTTACAGAGAGGAAAAGAGAGGGATAGAGAGTTAGAAACATCGATGAGAGAGAATCATCAATCAGCTGCCTCCTGCACACCCCCTACTGGGGATGTGCCCGCAACCAAGGTACATGCTCTTGACCGGATCGAACCTGGGACCTTTCAGTCTGCAGACTAATGCTTTGTCCACTGAGCCAAACTGGTTTCAGCCAAACTGGGAGTTTGAATATGTGCAAACGTTTCCCTCCCAGCTTTCTGGAGACATAATTGGCATATCACACCGTGTAGGTTTAATGCGTACAGTGTGATGATTTGAGCCTCGTCATGGAAGAGGCAGTCACAATGAGGTGAGTTGGCGCCTCCTCCATCACATGTCACGTGATTACGTTGTGTTGTTGTTCTGGTGAGAACCTTAAAGCTCTACCCTCCCGGAAACATTCGAGTATACAATTATTAACCGTTATTAACTCTGGTTACCGTACTGTATATTAGAATTCCCGGAACTTACTTATCTCATAGCTGAAAAGGGGTGCCCTTTGACCGATATTTTCCCGCCTCCTCCACCCTCGGCCCTTGGCAGCCACCAGGCTCCTGTCTGTCTCCCGGGCACAGGTTCTTTCCCTCCATCACGTGGTCCTCTCTCTGTAAGCTGACATCCTTTTTTATTTTTATTAATTATTACGTTATTTTTTATTGATTTTTTTTACAGAGAGGAAGGGGGAGGGATAGAGAGTTAGAAACGTTGATCAGCTGCCTCTTGCACGCTGCTCCCTGCCGGGGATGTGCCCGCAACCAAGGCACATGCCCTTGACAGGAATCGAACCTGGGGCCCTTGAGTCCACAGGCCGACGCTCTATCCACTGAGCCACACCAGTTAGGGCTGTAAGCTGACATCCTTTCACTCTCACCCACCTCGTACTGTCCCACCCCTCTCCCCTCTTCGCTGGATTGACATTTCGGGTCTCGGGGGCCTGTGCCGTTACATCATCTGTGTGCTACCAGGACCTTAGCCCAACATACGTCCTATGTGTACGGAGCTGTCTGACGAATGGTTTTCTAAGCAGCTCACAGGTCCCTGCATGTTCTTGTTACGGTTGCAGATCTCCCTGCAACACACGTTGTACCTTCTGCACCATGGGCTGCTGGACGACGCCAGCAGGAATCTGAGCCAGGCGGAGACGTGGAGATACGGCGAGAAGTCCTCGTCCCAGGAGGCGCTGATCAACCTCGTCCAGGCCTACAAAGGGCTTTTGCAGTATTACACCTGGTCTAAGAAGAAGAAGGAATTGTCCGAGCTTGGTGAGTGGAAACGGGAACTGTTTCTTTAGGCCAGTGGTCGGCAAACTCATCAGTCCACAGAGCCAAGTCTCAACAGGACAATGATTGAAATTTCTTTGGAGAGCCAAATTTTTTAAACTTAAACTTCTTCTAACACCACTTCTTCAACATAGACTCACCCAGGCTGTGGTATTTTTGTGGAAGAGCCACACTCAAGGGGCCAAAGAGCCGCATGTGGCTCGTGAGCCGCGGTTTGCCGACCACTGCTTTAGGCGGTAAGACTGGATCAGAAGGACACAGGGATCTTAAGGAGTAAATCTTAATCCCCGACCTCCCAGCCGAGCTTTATCCTGATGTTACGGAGAGCAGATGTCTCTGTGGATGTAAAGTTCTCCATCATTTTTTATATTCCGATGTATCAAAAAACCTTTTCAGACAAAACTTAGATGATTCATAAATTAAGTTATGATCACTTTAGATTCTTTGCTGTTTTTAAATATGATTTCCAAGAAAGGTGACCATTTTCTTCAGCAGGCATTATCGCATATCATAAATGTTTCTTCTCGTGGGTTTGGAATGGGGTTTAGTGTGTTTTATTGTATAATGCTGTTTCTCAGAATATTATGTTTAAAGAGGAGAGGAAGATAATGCTGTTTCATCCCTGTACAAAGGTTATAACAGACCTTTTTTTTTTATTTCAGAGAGAGGAAGGGAAAGGGGGAGAGAGAGACACATCGATGATGAGAGAGAATCATTGATCGGCTGCCTCCTGCACCCCCCCAACCCAGGCATGCGCCCTTGACCGGAATCGAACCTGGGACCCTTTAGTCCGCAGGCCAACGCTCTATCCACTGAGCCAAACCGGTCAGGGCTGGACCAGTCAGATCTTTCGATGTCCTGTGTCTGTCTTCTGTTTCTTCAGTTCACCTGGCTATAATGCCCGCTGCGATATTTTTTATTATTTTTGAACAGGCTAGTTAATGCTGATTAGGTAAGTTTTCAACTCAATATTTACTTTCTTACACGTGGTCAGGCAGAACTGAAGCAAATATTTGACGACAGAAGCAGTTGGAACCTGGCACTGATGCCCTCTTCCCCGCGGACAGGTGATCCAGTCCCTTCCCGTGGCAGCCCTTTGTTCCGTAGCAACAGGAGGTGGAGATGGCATTACACGTGGAGCTCTTTTTAAAAATATATATATATTTTATTGAGTTTTTAAGAGAGGGAGAGAGAGAGAGAGTTAGAAACATCGATGAGAGAAATTCGATCAGCTGCCTCTTGCACACCCCCTACTGGGGATGTGCCCGAAACCAAGGTACATGCCCTTGACCGGAATTGAACCCGGGACCCTTCAGTCCGCAGGCCGACGCTCTATCCACCGAGCGAAACTGGTTTCAGCTCAGTCTTATCCTTTAAATATTTGTCTTCACCAGCAAAACCACCAGGGCCCGAGCTTTTCGGTGGGTAGTTGCCGATTGCTAATTTGTGGTCAGTTCTGAGTGATTCTTAATGAGTCTCTGGTCTTTTTGATTAGATGAGGATGACTATGCTTACAGCACGGCCTCTCAGAACATGTTCAGCCACAGCTGGAAGACGTCCATCAACTTCTCTGCTCTGATTCAGACGCCCGGGGTCTGGGACCCTTTTGTGAAGAGTTATGTAGAGGTAAGTAGACTTCCCATAAAATTTTATTAGTTTCATTTTTTTAAATTAATTATATTTTTATTGATTTCAGAGAGGAAAGGGAGAAGGGAGAGAGAGAGAGAGAGATAGGAACATCAGTGATGAGAGAGAATCATTGATTGGCTGCCTCCTGCACGTCCCCTACTGGGGACTGAGCTTGCAACCTGGACATGTGCCCCTGGCTGGAATCGAACCCGGGACCCTTACAGAATGTAGCTCAGATATTATGTGTGTTTTTTTTTTTTAAAATAGATGCTGGAATTCTATGGGGATCAAGATGGGGCCCGAGAGGTCCTCACTAACTATGCCTACGACGAAAAGTTCCCGTCCAATCCCAACGCGCACGTCTACTTGTACAACTTTCTAAAGAGAGAGAAGGCGCCACGAGAGAAACTGATTAGTGTGCTTAAGGTATAGATCTTTTTTTTAATCTTTATTGTTCAGATTATTTGTTTATTTATTTATTTATTTATTTTTTAATTTTTTTTTTTTAAATATATTTTTGATTTTGTACAGAGAGGAAGGGAGAGAGATAGAGAGTTAGAAACATCGATGAGAGAGAGTCATCAATCAGCTGCCTCTTGCACATCCCCTACTGGGGATATGCCCGCAACCAAGGTACATGCCCTTGACTAGAATCGAACCCGGGACCCTTCAGTCCCCAAGCCGAAGCTCTATCCATTGAGCCAAACCGGTCTCGGCTATTGTTCAGATTATTACAATTGTTCCTCTTTTTCCCCCCCCATAGCTCCCCTCCACCTGGTTCCCACCCCATCCTCTGCCCTTACCTTCCCACACTGTCTTCATTCACGGGTGTACGATTTTTGTCCAGTCTCTTCCCGCACTCCCCACACCCCTTTCCCCCTGAGAATTGTCAGTCCACTCCCTTTCTAGGCCCCTGGTTCTATTATATTCACCAGTTTATTCTGTTCCTCAGATTTTTTATAAGGTATAGATTTTTTTTTTTTTTTTTAAAGATTTTTAATTGGGTACTAGAAAGAGAGGAAGGGAAAGAGATAGAAAGATAGAAACATCATTCTGCACGCCCTCTCCTGGGGATCGAGCCTGCATTATGGGCCTGTGCCCTGACTGGGAATCGAACCGGGAACCTCATGGGTTGACGCTCAACCGCTGGGCCTGTGTGAAGTAGATTTTTTCCTTTATTTTTTTCTTCTTCTCAGTTTTGACGTCTGAAAAGAAATTAAATTATTAAGTGTGATAAACAGTATAAAAATGTATGAGAAAATAAAAAGCCTCCATCTGTTTTCCCCTACACCTCTGATTATCTTGTTATTATCAGTGATTTTTAAACAGTAGCTTTACAGAGAATCCTTTCTGTACCCGAAATGAAACTGGATAAAAGCTAAGTGTCTTTTAAATCCATGATTCATTCTCTGAAGGGCTATTTGAAAGTTAGCTGAAGTTTGAGAAATGCCTTTTGCATGTGCAAATATCACAAGATTATCCTTTCTTCCAGATTTTGTATCAGATTGTACCATCTCATAAGCTGATGCTAGAATTCCACAGATTACTGAGGAAATCAGGTGAGTTGTGTGTGTGTGTGTGCGTGTGTGTGTGTGTGTGTGTGTGTGTTAAATCTCTGTGAGTAGACGAGGCGGTCAGCAGCCCAAGGCCCCTGGGCCAAACCCATTGCTCCCCCGATCGCAGTTCTGGAGCCCAGACACTCCCATGCACTGACGTGGTCCATGCATCCATCCCCCCCACTCCCACAGTCACACACATGTCTAACTTTTGACTCCCAAAAGCCTTAACTTCTTATGGCCCACTGTTCACCAGAGGTCATACTTATCACACACATTTTGTCTATTGTGTGTATTATTTACCGTATGCTTACAATAAATAATACACATATTTTAATAACGCCTGAGTTAGACATGATGGATGCCCCTAACTCAGGCGCAGAGTTATATAGCTCCGTGGTCGGCAAACCGCGGCTCCCGAGCCACCTGCGGCTCTTTGGCCCCTTGAGTGTGGCTCTTCCACAAAACACCAAGGCCTGGGCGAGTCTGTTTTGAAGAAGTGGCGTTAGAAGACGTTTAAGTTTTAAAAATGTGGCTCTCCAAAAAGATTTCAATCGTTGTGCTGTTGATATTTGGCTCTGTGGACTAATGAGTTTGCCGACCACTAGTGAAGCCCATTCAGAGATCAGAATCCGCATTCCGACTTCAGTAGCATGGACTGAATTATTGCATTTCTCAGATTCTTCACAGGAGAGTATGAGTACAATGAATTGTTTTTAAGTTTTTGGCCAAATCAGAGGCTTACGGTTCAGTAATGCTTTATCAGCTGATGAAGTAAGTGATTGTCTCGGCTTTGTGTGCCTCAGTTTCCCCTGTGACCTCACTGCTGTGACCATTGCAGACCAAGAAGAGCACCGTAGACTGGGGCTGGAGGTGCTGTTCGGTGTCTTGGATTTTGCTGGATGCGCCAAAAACGTAACTGCTTGGCAGTGTTTGGCAAAATATCTGCGACAGATCTTAATGCGGTAAGAGACTCGCGGTCTTTGTTGCTGGGTCAGCATAAATCATAATACTTCCCAGTATCAGAGCTGATAATATGTCAGTTTTTAAGCAAATAAAGTTTTTGCTTATGTTTTTGGGTTTTATTTTTTAAAAAAATATTTGTTATTGCTTTTAGAGTAGGGGTGTCGAACTCAATCAGAGAAGGGGCCAAAATCTAAAATCCAGCCTAAATCGCGGGCCGAATGGTTTACTGAACAGTCATAAACTGTCATTGTGATGGAAACGCAGCGGAGTGCAGTGATGACAGCGCGGTGCGGGCCACATTGCAAGGCCTGGCGGGACGGATTTGGCCCGCGGGCCTTGTGTTTGACACATGTGTAGAGGGAACGGAAGTAGATGAAGCCCTATCTGAACGCCTGCTGACCATAAGATTCTTAAAGGCAGAAACATGTCCTATTCAGTTTTTTTAAAAAATATATATTTTATTGATTTTTTTTTTTTTTTTTTAAATATATTTTATTGATTTTGTACAGAGAGAAAGGGAGAGAGATAGAGAGTTAGAAACATCGATGAGAGAGAGTCATCAATCAGTTGCCTCTTGCACACCCCCTACTGGGGATATGCCCGCAACCAAGGCACATGCCCTTGACTGGAATCGAACCCGGGTCCCTTCAGTCCCCAAGCCGATGCTCTATCCATTGAGCTAAACCGGTCCCGGCATATATTTTATTGATTTTTTTACAGAGAGGAAGGAAGAGGGATAGAAAGTTAGAAACATCAATGAGAGAGAAACATTGATCAGTTGCCTCTTGCACACCCTCTACTGGGGATGTGCCCGCAACCAAGGTACATGCCCTTGACTGGGATCGAACCTGGGACCTTTCAGTCCGCAGGCCCACGCTCTCTCCACTGAGCCAAACCGGTCTCGGCATCCTATTGAGTTTTTGAACCGGTAGGAATTCGACCACAGGACACAAATAGGTCCTAAATGTGTATTTGCTCAATTAAATCATTCATGAACTCTCAGCCTTGTCCGTTTCAACTGTCAGACCTGTGTGTCCATGTATTTATATAATAATACCTGAATTTGGATAGTAATTCTTTGTAGTATGTAATTTAAAATGAAGTTTTAAATGAATTCTTAAATAGTAATAATAGCTAACATTTATGAAACATTGGCCGGGAGCTTGAATGAGATGGCTGTATTGCGGGACCAGTTTCATCCTGATAACAGTGCTGTGCGCTGGTGCCATTCATATCCCCAAGGAAATGGAAGCTCAGAGAGGTTAAACACCTTGGCCAGGGTCACATAGGTAGCGAATGGAAGATCTGAGATTTGAATCGGGATTTTGACTTCAGAGTCTATGGCATTAACCACACCGAGCCACACTGGGCTGGCTGTTTAGTTAAATGGAAACTAGGACATAGAGATCCACAAGAACTGGAAATGATGTGGTTTCATGCGTGTGCCCTGCCCCTGCCAAACCCAGACGTTGGTCTGAAAACGTCTTCCTCTCCTCCTAGTTCATCGACTCTGCTTCTGTTCCCGTTCTGACAGCCCAGATCCGTCTCCATCCCTGACCTTTTTCTCTTCCAGAAGCCATCCTGCCTGGATTCAGGAGGAGTGGAATTCCAGGAAAAGCTGGTGGCCAGGCTTTCACTTCAGCTCCTTCTGGGCAAAAAGCGACTGGAAGGAGGATAGAGCCTTGGCTTACGAGAAGGCGTTTGTAGCCGGGATATTGTTAGGAAAAGGTATGTGTTCTCTTTTTATCTCAAAAGTCTCTTGTAGGCGATTTTGAAATATGAGTGTGACCATTCTCTCATCTGACAGCTCGCCTCCTGTGGTACCTTAGGTTGTTTCTGTGTCTCTAGGCTGTTGTGAATAACGCTACAGTGAAAAAGGGATACAGGTATCTTATACTACACTTGATCTTAGCCAAAAAGCCGAGAAGCGATGGGATACATGTATCTTTATGGTGGTGTTTTAAAAAATACCGAGAAATTGCTGGGTCACATGGTAGCTTTCTTCTTAATGTTTTGAGGAGCCTCCATTCTGTTTTCCATGAAGGCTGCATGAAGTTACAATCCTACCATTAGGGTTCCCTTTTCTCTGCATCCTCTCCAACACTTGTTACTTCTCACCTTATCTTTTTTTAAAATATATATATTTTATTGCCCTAGCTGGTTTGGCTCAAGGGATGGAGCATCGGACTGCGGACTGAGGGGTCCCAGGTTCGATTCTAGTCAGGGCACACGCCAGACTATATCCCCAGTAGGGGGCATGCAAGCTTATCAATGATTCTCTCTCATCATTGATGTTTCTATCTCTTCCTCCCTCTCCCTCTCTGACATTAATAAAAATATAGTAAAAAAGAAAAAAAAAAAAAAAATATATATATATATATATATATATATATATATATACATATACACACACATATAATATTTATTTTTATAGAGAGGAAGGGAGAGGGATAGAGAGTTAGAAACATCGATGAGAGAGAAACATCGATCAGCTGCCTCCTGCACACTCTCTACTGCCTGCAACCAAGGTACATGCCCTTGACCGGAATCGAACCTGGGAAGTAAGGGGTGTGCAGGAGGCAACCGATCAATGATTCTCATTGATGTTTCTTTTCTTTTCTTTTTTTTTTTTTTTTTTTAATATATTTTATTGATTTTGTACAGAGAGGAAGGGAGAGAGATAGAGAGTTAGAAACATCGATGAGAGAGAGTCATCGATCAGTTGCCTCTTGCACACCCCCTACTGGGGATATGCCCTCAACCAAGGTACATGCCCTTGACCGGAATCGAACCCGGGTCCCTTCAGTCCCCAAGCCGACGCTTTATCCATTGAGCTAAACCGGTCTCCTCATTGATGTTTCTATCTCTCTCTCCCTCTCCCTCTATGAAATCAATAAAAATACATATTTCAAAGACAACTACAAAAAAGAGAAGAATCGAGGATAATTTGCTTTTGGAGCAGGTTCTTGTAATATATGAATGCCTTTCGCCTAAACAAGGGTGTGGGAGGCAGCTTAGAAAACCAGCTGAAGTTGACGCTTTATGTTGATGGATCAGAAACATCTTCGTATGTAGCAAGTAATACATTTCACTGGTGATGGCTCTGAGAGTGTGCTTAGACATGTTGGTATAGACAGTAAAACTCATTCTGATTCCATAATCATTAATATGTCAGGAATGAAGCAAAGCTAAAAATGTAGAAATATATTTGAAGAATTCAATAAGTATTAAAACTTTCTTTGTTTTATTTTTTTTTTAGGTTGTAAATATTTTAGGTATATTTCAAAACAAGATCATCAAGTCTTAAGGAAGAAATTTAAGCGGATGAAGAAGTTAGTGAAAAAACACAGTATTGTAAATCCCTGATACTGAATCTTAGTTATTTCAGCTTAGTAGCTACAGTGTAGTAGCTTAATGGATAATTATTGAATGTATTTATTTATTTGGTGGTCTATATGGCTATAAAAAAGTTATTTTTATATATTTTTATACTTTCTCTTACTAGTAGTTATAGCCAGAGAAACAGTCTCACTACCTTCGTTCTTGGTAAATAAATATTTTTCCTTTTTGTACTGTTAAATATATTTATTAAGGAATAACCTTCAAATAAAACATGTATTTATTTAATCAGAGAATACACCTCTACAGCAGTTATTATTTGCAGATAAGTTGCCTGACTTTGTGCAATAAGTCATAGCTTATAATAAGTGGAATTGTTAAACGAATTTCTTATTTCAGACTCTAAATGATATCCATGTTGGGTTTACTATCATGACAAATATTTTGGTGATGAGTTCCGTTGAGAAACTTTGGAAACCAAACAAGACCTAGTAAAGGACTCTTCCTCCTTCTCCTTCGGTGTTAAGACGGGACAGTGTGAGGCTGAACGACCTGATTCCAGGAGAGGAATTTGGGTCAGAGCAGGTGGAAGGGGCTGGCTGGTTTCAGCTGGCGCTGGCTTCGCTTCAGAGGGCTCTGGGCTTGTCTGCCTTTGTTTCTGTGTCTGGCTCAGCTGAGCCGTGCTCTGGAGCTCCCAAGTCCTCCCCTTTCTCTGGGGAACAAGGTACAGCATTGGCAGCTGGACAGGGGAGCAGACAGCCAGTGAAATAGGGTCCCAGGCTCACACAGTAGGCCCAGTGGAGAATGAGATAGTGTCCCACACAGTAGGACAGATGGGTGGTGTGCAGGAGGCAGCTGGTTGATGTTTCTCATCAATGTTTTCAACTCTCTCACCCTTTCTCTGTAAAAATCAATAAAATATATAAATTTAAAAAAAAAGAAAGGAAAAAAAAAGCCAAAACCGGTTTGGCTCAGTGGTAGAGCGTCGGCCTGCGGACTGAAAGGTCCCGGGTTCGATTCTGGTCAAGAGCATTTTCCTTGGTGGCGGGCGCATCCCCGATGGGGGGTGTGCAAGAGGCAGCTGGTCGATGTTTTTCATCGACGTTTCTAGCTCCCTATCTCTCTCCCTTCCTCTCTGTAAAAAATCAATAAAATATATTAAAAAAAATACTATTGGTTTTAAAAGAGAGAGAGAGAGAGGGAGAGAGAGAGAGAGACAGAGAGAGAGAGAGAGAGAGAGAGAGAGAGAGAGAGAGAGAGAGAGAGACTCCGTATATACCCCAGCTCTAGGAGGAGGCCTGGAGGCCTGTGCTGACGGGTTTCCAAGGAAAGCTGCCCCCTAAGATGGTCACCCCATTTGCAGGTTCCCAGTCTTGGGGCACTTCAGGATTTCATGGCTTTGCCCACAGACGTTGCGTACCAGCACTAGCCACGTGCAGACCCTTGCGTGAGAACGGGAGTGTTTTTCCTGCCTGGGTGGGACTCCTTTCCTCAGGGCCCTGGGCACACTTCCCCTCACCACATACCCCCGAGCACACGAAGGCAAAACAACCCACAAATGTGCGTGTTTCTGCAGAGCTGAAAGCTTGCAGGCCAAGACGAAGTGGTTAACTGCCCCACGTCCGAAATGAAAACCATCCCACACGCCTCGGTAGTTTGAATTTAATTTAAAAAAACCCGCTGATTAAGCCGAAACCGGTTTGGCTCAATTAGATTGAGTGTCAGCCTGCGGACTGAAAGGTCCCGGGTTCGATTCCGGTCAAGGACATGTACCTTGGTGGCGGGCACATCCCCAGTGGGGGGTGTGCAAGAGGCAGCTGATCGATGACTCTCATCGATGCTTCTGACTCTCTGTCCCTCTTCCCTCCAGAGAAACAGTCTCACTACCTTTGTTCTTGGTAAATACATATTTTTCCTTTTTGTACTGTTAAATATATTTATTAAGGAAATATATTTATTAAGGAATAACCTTCAAATAAAACATGTATTTACGTAATCAGAGAGTACACCCCTACAGCAGTTATTTTTTGCAGATAGGTTGCCTGACTTTGTGCAACTTATCTGCAAATAAGTTGCACAAAAATCAATAAATATATTAAAAAAGGAAAAAAAAAGAAAAGACTCTGGAATTCAGCGGGGAACGGAGGAAGGAGGATGGTTGCAGGCACCGGCTCCCCGAGCGGGCGTGGGCTGCTGCTTGTGTTGGGGAACGTCCCGGGGCTGCTTGCTTTGGGGGATCTCCCCGGGTGCACGCGGGCTGGGCTGCAAGGCCGGGGTGCCACGTGGCGCCCACAGCCCCGGGGCGCGGCGGGTCCGGCGTCGGGGAGAGGCGAGCGGGAGCCGGCGCCACAGCGCCACCTGCCGGCCGCGCGCGCGCACTGCAGGCGCCGCGCCTCCTGCCCCGCCCGCCCCGCAGCCCGCGCGCCGGACGCCCCTCCGCTGCCCGCCGTCCCCCCCGGTGCTGCGAGCACAGCCAGCCGGAGCCTCGCGCCCCGATTCCCAGCGATCGGGCCCGCCCGCAGGTGCCGGGGCGCTACGGTCACCGAGGATGGCTTTTCTGTTTCTTTCTTTTTTTCCTTTTCTCCCCCCTTTTCATTGCGGCCCAGCATTTCCTCTCCCGCGTTGCATCCCAAGCGCAACGAGGATGCTCGTATCCTTTGCATTTCGGGAGGAGAGACCCCGCTTTGCATCCATCGTGCCGGAGAGCGTTTGCAGAGGTGACTTTCCCACTTTGGGAGTTTCTGTTCTGGATGCATGCGAGAGCATGGGAAAGGAAAAAGAAAAGAAAGAAAGGGGGGAAAAATAAAAAAGGTAGCAAAAGGCCCCAGCAAGGATTGAACTCGCGATCCCTGGTTTACAAGACCAGTGCTCTAACCACTGAGCTATGGAGCCCCCTTGTTACCTGGGAGACCGCAATGCAAGGGCATTGGTGGCAGCCTGGCTTCAGCTGGCGGGCTTGAGAGACAGACCGACCCCCCAGGAGACTGACTGACCCCCAATCTCAGTCATGATGGCTGTGAAGACTGTGAAGTGCCAGAGGGAAAAAATGCCCACCACGCCACGCCACGCCACGCCACAGGTGGAAAAACAAAACAAACTCGAATCCCTAAGGTTAGGATCACAGAACACGGACGCCTACCTGCGGTAAGTGATGCGAACGGACAGAGGCGGGAAGGGGAGATGCAGAAGTGAAACGGGGTTACCGTTAGGTCGGGGTACAGCTCTGCTGTCGCTGGGACAGCTTGTCTCAAGTTTAATACTCACAGGGGCCTGGCTTTGGTTCTCAGGAGTAAGGTATTGGTTAGGGATGAGTTTATATATTTTATTTTTTATGGAGAGGAGGGAAGAGGGATAGAGAGTTAGAAACATTGATCAGCTGCCTCCTGCACACCCCCCACTGGGGATGCGCCCGCAACCAAGGTACATGCCCTTGACGGGAATCGAACCTGGGACCTTTCAGTCCACAGGCCGACGCTCTATCCACTGAGCCACACCGGTGAGGGCGGCATGAGTTATTTTTTTATTACTAGTTGAGTCTAAAAGTATTGTGTGCAGCTGGCTGGATGTGTGCAATCCCTGGCCTCTGGGCTGGCGATCAGGAGGGAGACAGACACTCCAGGGCCATGGTCTTGGGGCCCAGCGCAGCGATTCCAGTCTTGCTGGATTGGTGGAGGTTTGTGGTGTGACCTAATACGCGGTCCATCCTGGAGACCGTCCGAAGCCACTGTTTGCTTTCTGGTGCTGGGGGATTCGGTTCGGAGGAAGTTGATCTTCTCTCCGGTGGCGTCGTGAGGTCCCAGGCTGGGCACAGGCACCGGAGGGAGGACATCTCGGCCTCCTCCTCTGTAAAACGCGAGTGATGATGAGGATGAGGAGGAGGAGGATGCTGATGACCGCAATCACGCTGTCATCGCCTGTGGGTACTCGGGAAGCATCCATGAAACCCTGTGTGTCAATACTTCCCACAGGGCCTGGCGTCAGGGGTAGCCTTGGTATGAGTTTATTATTATTTTTTAACATATATTTTACTGCTGAAACCGGTGTGGCTCAGTGGATAGAGCGTCGGCCTGCGGACTGAAAGGTCCCGGGTTCGATTCCGGTCAAGGGCATGCACCTTGGTGGCGGGCACATCCCCAGTGGGGGGTGTGCAAGAGGCAGCTGATGGATGTTTCTCTCTCATGGATGTTTCTGACTATCCCTCTCCCTTCCTCTCTGTAAAAAATCAATAAAATATATTAAAAAAATAAAAAAGAGGAGAGAAAAGAATAAAAAAGAAAAAGAAGAGAAAAGAAAAGAAGAGAAAAGAAAAAAAAAACTCCCCCTTGAGCACACCACTTTGTCAAGGTGACCACGGTGTCTTATTTCTTTGGGCTGCAGTTGAGCGAGTGGCCACTAGGGGATGCCACATTCCCGCACGCGAGGAGGCTGTGCCTGCGTGGACGCGCCTGACTGTCACTCTTGGAGAGAAGAGCACGCATCCCGGAGAGAGAAATGAAGCCATGGGCGGGATTGAGTTTTTAAAACACGCCCACAGCCCCGTGGAGAACACGCCGCGGTGCTGGCAGGTACCTCTCCTTGCTGGGACGGATGGAAAAGGGCGTTACCTGCCCACGGGCACCTGGCTACAGTGGCCAGGTTATACAAATACACAATCCAGCTGAAACCGGTGTGGCTCAGTGGATAGAGCGTCCGCCTGCGGACTGAGGGGTCCCGGGTTCGATTCCGGTCAAGGGCATACACCTCGGTTGCGGGCACATCCCCAGTTGGGGGACAAGCAAGAGGCAGCTGATCGATGACTCTCATATAATAGATGTTTCTAACTCTCATCTCTCTCCCTTCCTCTCTGTAAAAATAAAATAAAATAAAATAAAAAAATAATAAAATACACAATCCAGTGAAACCACACAGCAGCGAGAGAATGAGACCCAGCTGGGCTCCGGCCCCTGCAGGCCTCGGTGATGAGTGTTGAGTAAACGGGCTGTGGTCACATGGAGACCCTTTTATTTTTTAAAAATATATTTTATTGTTTTTTTTTTTTACAGAGAGGAAGAGAGAGGGATAGAGAGTTAGAAACATCGATGAGAGAGAAACATCGATCAGCTGCCTCTTGCACACCCCCTGGAGACATGCCCACAACCAAGGTACATGCCCTTGACTGGAATCGAACCCGGGATCCCTCAGTCCGCAGGCCGACGCTCTAGCCCACATGTGTCAATCCACTGTAGCCGACGGTACGCTCTATCAGGTGGAGACCGGTTTTAATTCATTGGGACCTGGGACACCTTTTAATTAGGAG